CGCCCTCTCCAGGTGTCCTCCCGTTCGCATGCCGACAGGCCAGTACAGGCACATATATGGCTTCGGTCGTGCGAGGGCTCGGGTGCTTAATTCGCCTTACAGTCGCGGTGTTCATGCACGGAGGCTGAACGCCGCGCTCTATAAACACGTAACGCGCATGCGCGTGGGCTGGTGACATTTGCGAGAGAACGGAGGGATGCGCTGCTTACTCAGAACCGGCTCGTTATCCTACTATCGTATGGCTGTCGTAACGTGCGCGGCGCGTCTCTTACAACACGTTGACGAATATGTCGGCAGTCGATCGCAGGCACGACGTGGCGATTAGACGAAGCTTGAGCTTGATGTCCAGCACGTACTTGGCGATGGCGATGACGATTAGGCTTGTGGTGGACGGCAGGCACGACGTTGACAATGACGTATAGTTTGTAGTTGACGCGGGCACGACGTTGGCGAGATCGACGATACTTGAATTGAGGCAGGCACCGACGTTGGCGGATGACGAAATATGATTTGACGCAGGCACTTACGTTGGCGATGGTGATGACGATTATGCTTGTGGTTGAGCAGGCACAGGACGTTGACGATGACGATAGCTTGTGGTTGACGCAGGCAACGACCGTTGACGATGACATAGTTTGTAGTTTACGCAGGCACGACGTTGGTGATGGTGATCAGCGAAAGCTTGGTGGTTGAGCGCAGCAGACGTCTGGCGATTAACGATGACGATAGTCTGTAGTCGGATCCAGGCACGAACTTGGGCGATGTCTTCCTCACTGTCTCTACGCTCGCCGCCGCGTCGCCGGGAGAGAATTCGCGAAGGAAATTACGGCGCAAAACTCGATTAGGCGCCTCCCACTTCCTCTCTCTTTGCCTCCTTTGTCCCCCTTTGTCTCTCCCTGTCTCCCTCCTCTCCTTCCTTCCTCTCTCGCTCCCTCTTTACTTACGCGCAGCACGAGCGCACTCTTCTAAACTTTCTTCTCCCCTTTTTCTCTCTCGCTGCCTCCTTTGTCCCCCTTTGTCTCTCCCTGTCTCCATCCTCTCCTTCCTTCCCGACTCTCTCTCCGGCTCTCTCTACTTAAGCTAGCAGCACACTTCACCATTTTCGTTGCTCGTACAGGCAATTTTCGTGGTCGCCACAAAAATGGCCAAGTGTGCGGGGGCCGGCAACGACCACTCACCACGGAAATTTAGTGGTAACCACGAGTTGCCGAGAATCAAACCGGTTTGATTTCTCACCACGAAAATTGCTCGTGGTGGCAACTTGTGGTGAAGTGTGCTGTGACGCGGCAACGGCCACAAAAATTGCCGACCACGAAAATTGCCTGTACGAACAACGAAAATGGTGAAGTGTGCTGCTAGCTTTACGCACAGCTTGACCGCATTCTTCTCGACTTTCGTCTCCCACTTCCGCTCTCCCTGCCTCTCTTCTCTCCCTTCCCCAATCTCTGCATCCCTTGCTGCCTTCCCCTCTCCCTATCTTCCTCTTTCCTCGCTTCCTCATTCTCCGCCTCTCTACTTACGCACATATTGACCGCATTCTTCTAACTTCCTTCTTCCCTTCCTCTCCCTCTGCCTCTATTCTCTTCTTTCCTCTCTCCTTCTCTTTCCCCCTTCCTCACTCTCCGCCTCTCTATACTTACGTGTAACACGAGCGCATTCTTCTGAACTCGGGCCACGGGTCGGTGCAGAAGCTCTGTGGGGAAAAAAACCAAAATGACAAGATGAATAAAAATCACAACGCGGCGAGCGCATGAGTCTCATCAGTGGGAGGCTGAGCGGCGGGGGGAACGGCGGGGGGAGCGAGTGAGTGAGTAAGTGTACGTGCATGAGTGCGTACGTGCGCGTACGTGTGCGTGCGTGAGTGAGTGAGTAAGTGTACGTGCATGAGTGCGTACGTGTACGTGCGTGAGCGAGTTCGTGTACGTGCGTGAGTGCGTACGTGTGCGTGCGTGAGTGAGTTCGTGTATGTAGGTAATCCATCAGTCGGTATCCAGTCCGCCGACACAGAGGCAAACAGTTTTTCTCCCTCGACGCTCGGATAACGACATTAATTACAGCTTCTCGGCTCAAGGGCAAGCGCTCATTCTCATGTAAATGCTAAAAGCACGCGGCTCGCCGACGCACGGGGGCGTTAATGAAGCGGCCGACTATTGTGAAGCAAGTCGCTGACAGCTCGGCCCGCCCGGCTCTGCTGCTGCTGCTGCTGCTGCTGCTGCTGCTGCTGCTGCTACTGCTGCTGCTACTGCTGCTACTACCACTACTGCTGCTACTGC